CAAATACACACTTACATGTGTGTGTGAAGGGGAGGGAGACATGTATATGAATCTGAGGTAAATCCTTTATTTTAATACAAACATGTAACCAAAATATTCTGGGAAATACATGCATACTGGTACATGATGATGTCTACCGTACATGCATCAATACCTTGTGCCAATTCCAGGGTTATTACATTTCCTTTTGTGGTCAAATGATCATTCTTGCCGTCAAAATTCTGTCGTTAGCACCAAATCAAAGAGGTCACTGCATACACTGCCACTTGGTGTCAGAAGTGTTCGGCCTCTATTGACCAATGCCCCACCAATGCACATATTGTCCAGCCCTAGCCACCAACCTAACTTTTACATCTTCGCAGTCAGTAAAATTGGAGATATTTGTCTTATCCCCCCCCCCAAAATGAAGTAATATCCTTCATCAGAAGGCTGAAGACGGAAGAATGTTTGGGAGCAACTTGTGGGAGATAATTGGGTTTCAGTGAAGTCTTGCAAAGAGGAGGTCAGCTAGACTAGAGCTGATTCCCTCACAGACACAGTGTTTCCCTGCCTAATGTGCATGTATTTGAATGTGAGGCAGCCCACCTCATTAATTTTAGGGGTACAAATGAGGGTCCACGTAAATTTGCAGGTTGCTCGAGCGTTTTGTATCTAGATTGGACTCATTTTGCCTTTCCTACTGGCAAATAACAGTGCAATTGTGAAGCTAGTGACGCGCTAAGAATCTTCTTTACATTATAGCACTTTTCATAGGAGAATGTGTGACCATTTTCTTTGATAGTTTTATAGAGAGTTGTGTAAACAGGCCTAGCAGTCGTGACAGGTTAAAGTGTCAGATTTCCCATTTCCATGTATTTGTACATACACCCAAGTCCGTGGAGGTGGCTGTGTGTTGAACTTGGTTATGTTGTTGGCCCTAGATCATTTGCAGAAATGATGTCCTGGCAGGGAGCGTTGTACAAATCTTGCGCAAGTAACTCTTCAAAAAGCATGATTTATGGTGTCCCACACAGTTATAAAAGTAGCTGCAGTGTGTTATCACTTTATAAGTTCAGATTTGGCCTAAAAGTGCATAACGTGGTCGAGGTAGGAAAAAAAGGGGTCTCAGTTTCAGCTAGCATTTTAAAAATTTTCACAGATAAAATATACATGTGGCTTGTGGATCAGCCTTCATGTGAACAATTTATACATTCATTATATGCTTCATACCTGCTGCACAGCCCTCAAAAGGCCACATTTTGATTCAAACAAATCCAACTAAGAGGCCATTCAAGGTTTTCAATATTTTTTAATTTCAATTTTTTGAAGTGATGGGTGGGTCAAGGTAAATTTTTGAAGATTGAAATTCACTTTTCATTAACCGAAACAGTCCCAAATCCTCCAATTTTATGATTTTACATACATCCTACCGGTTAGGTGATGAAAGACAAAAGCAAATCAAAACAATTTCAATGAAAATCGAAATTTTTCAAAAAACTTCAAAAATTTTGAATGATCCCTAAATAAGATGGAAACACTATGACAATTTACGAGTCAATTGTCATGAGACTTGGTGTAGTGATGACTTGAAAGTATTGTTACGCTCCCAGAAACTGTTCCCCTATATGCATGTAGCTTATAGTGTACACGCTACTACACACACCACTTAGCCCACAGCGAGCGAGCAGTGACCATCTAGATTACACGGGTTGTACACAGCGCATTGCATTCCACACGTGACCCCATTGCTCTATGCTGCAACAAGCTTGAACCGCAACTCCGAAGCACACTTCCAACTTAGTCATTTTCCCCCAAATCTTCCTCGGAGTCGATCATACTTTCAGTCGCACATATAACCCGTACATTCGACCCACACAGACCCCCAACTTATACCGTAAAACGGTGTCCCACCAAACCACACACCGAAAGCCTGTCTTCGGTCACGTTACAGCAAAGGTCAATTCCCTCCGCTCACTCTCAGTTTTATCCCGTAAGAATTATGTGTAAATTTCCTAGCCATTCAGAGACTAAGTGTTGTACACAACCCAATGTACTGAGAAAGGCTCACCCTTTCCTTTCCCTCATTGACCAAGTCCCCCATAGCTCACCCACGAACAGCCTTTCACCCTCTCGCTCCCAAACTTCTCAGACCTTATCGCTCTCCAGAAACTAAGTCGGCGAAGACCAAGTGTGTACAAAAGCCCCATAGATTTTTCTGCCGTAGACTTTCTACATGTATGAATTATTCATAACCACCCCAATCCAGTGCTCCCATTGGTCCCCATTGGCTAAGACGTGGTCCCAAATGTCTATATAAAGGGACCAGCTCCAGCGGTCAGCATCGATCACTCCCGAGC